GGTGGGAGGAGAGGGAGGGGAGACCCATGTTCCCCCCCCCCTACTCCTGAGCTGTTTTGCGTGGTGGCCTCCTGGTGAGGAAGAGAGACCCACAAGCCCGAGACGGCGCCCTGGCGTTCCTCTCTCTTGCCTCCTTGGTCTCATCAAGGTCATCCGTGGCCTTGCGCGTGGCTGAGATGGGGGGGCGGCGGCAACGGTTCCGTGGGTGAGACCGGGGTTGTGTGGCTCAGGCTCCACAGAGCAGCGTTGGCCGTCCGGGGGGGGGTGTCTCCACGATGGGCCTTAAAAGGATCGGGAGGGGGGGAACGTTTATCTGTGGACGTGGGGCCGATCCGGATGGGAAGGCCTCGGTTCCTTATGACGCTTAGCTGCTCTGGGTCGCTTGCGGTTGTTTTTTTCCTGCGTGGAGCTCGAGGTCCCCTCTGGGGCTCACGTCCCCCCTTCTTGAGCCTCCACAACGGCCCTGTGAGGTAGAACGGGTGGGAGAGGGAGTGCCCCATCTCTGAAGTCCTGCCTCTGGAGTGATGCAGGTTATTCTCATCACCACCAGGGCTGACAGAATGAAGAAACTGGCTCGACCTCCCTGTTCACTTACCGTCCAGCTAGATCTCATAGGTCTACTCTAGTGACATTTCTTTCTCTGTCAGGGTCTGCATTTACAGCTTTAAAAAAGAAAACACCACAAAACAATTTTGAGTGGATCACAATGCTCAGAATCCCCTGTCTAACATGGCAGGGGCCCCCCTCAGTCAGCATGATGGGTGTTGGGAGTTATAGCCCCTCCCCAAGGAAGAAAATCAAAGTTTGTCCTGGGTTTGTATGTGTAAACCCACCTACATCTAAATATATATAGTATATGCACAATAATATAATAATCATCTTAGAACGGCAGGGCTGTGGCTCATCGAGTCCACCCCTTGTGAAGGAGGCCCAGAATTCGAACTCCCACCTTCTGGCTCCACAGTCACAATCACCACCAGGGAAGAAGGAAGAGAACAGCCTGTTTCTTTGGCCCCAATCCCCATTTTCAAACTAGCTTGGGTGTTATCACCAACCAGTTGGGAGCGAGCACCGATTAATCTAGAAGTCTCATGCCTCCGGTATGTCACACTGAAAGATCGGCGTGCCTGGAGGGATAACATTGTAAGAGGAAAAAAGTAAATATTTATCATAGCACGTGAGCTGATCCTAAATTTGGGGACAGGAAGGCATTATCGGATGGGAAAGGATCTAAAGTTCCCCCTGGAAGTCAGCAAAATTCCAGCTGTGTATCTTCCCAAGAAGAAAAACTAGGAATGCTGTTAGAAGCAGAGGTCCCTGGAAGAAGGAAAACTGTGTCTCACACTGTATGTTGCAGATCAGGTGGCTTTTGTTTTGTGATTGGTCATCAGGAGGTCAACTCAGATTTCATATGCAAATCAGATTGTGTGGACCTGGAGCTTTGAAGGAATGGGGTGTCTGGAGGGAAAAGGCAATGCAAAAGACATTTTCCTCTTAACATGGGAAGCGCTAGGAGTTGGTGGAGGAATCTGTGAGTTCTCAGCCCTACTGTGGGTCTAATTTTCATGTAAGTGGTGGCAGGATTGCAGCCAGTTTGGGGAGAAAAGTTGGCTGTTTTTGGAAATATAGTGAATTTCTGAAGCTGTAGCTTAAAAAAGAAAACCCAAACAAACCTCTTTTTTTGGGGGAAAAAAATTCTACCAAGGAACACAAAGGGAAATAGGGAAAAGCCAAGCTGTTCCTCTTAGCAGCTTTTGTTTATTAAATGAGATAAGATAAGTTAGGGTATATTTCCTCCGGTATCTCAAAAAGATCCTTTTTCTTCCAGATGCATCTGGTCAACCCTGTGTGAAGCAGGATGCTAGGTTACGTAGGTCTGTGCCGTGGTTGGCCCAAGGTGTCAAGTCTCGATGGTCTCAGAAACAGGATACTGGGTTTGCTAGTGAGGTGGAGTTTCAGGAGGGGAAATGGATTTTCCGGTTGCCTGGGAAAGCTGGGGGGGGCCGGAAATCAAGCCGGTGTCTTCTGCTGGTTTGGTCCCCCGTTGTTTCTGTTAGAGCCGTGGTTCCCCAGATGTTCCTGGACCGCAGCTCCCAGAAGCCTTTGCCACTAGCTATCCTGGCCAGGATTTCTGGGAGTTGTAGTCCAAGAATATACGGGGACTCAAAGTTGGGGACCACGGGACTAGAACAACAGAAAAACAGGGGAATAACAAGCGCAATTTGTTTTCCCGAGTTGTAGTCCAAGAATATCCGGGGACCCCAAAGTTGGGGACCACAGGACTAGAGCAACAGAAAAACAGGGCAATAACAAGCCCAATTTGTTTCCCACCCAAACCCCTGCGCTGATTTCAAGAATTGTGCCAAATTGTGTTGGTCGCCCGTGATACCTTCGGCTCGCCTGGGCCGAACGCCTTCCTCCGAAAGGCCCATCGGCCCCAAATAGACCCAGCAGACTGGGAGGGATGCCCCTAAAGGCATCTGGTGGCATCATGCCAAAAGGAGGATGACCCCCTCCTCCAGATGTTTCCTTTCTTTTTTTGCTATGATCCTTTTGGGGCATGACGCCAGATTGGGTTCTGTGGGTTTTGGGGCTTTATTTACTGATTGTGTATAGGCTACAGGCCAAGCCCCTTGGCTTGCCAGGAGATGTCTTCGATCAATCAATATAGTATTTTTTTAAAAAAACCCATGGCTAGGATCCAAAAATAGAAAGGTTCTGGGCCTGCCTGTTGCTTTGGACGCCGTTGCTACCAAGATGGACCGCTGTGTCGACGCTTAAAGCCAAACTGGATTGTAGGACGAAAATTTGGTTTTTCTCCCTTGGCTGCCGTCCCTGGTAATATTGAATGACAAGCTATGAATCTAGGACACGTATGATGGC